AATTGTTGCATTTGTGTTACAAAGAATAATAATCAATACTCTGTCATGTGAATTGTGAATTTATGAATTATAAAATGACCCCATCATATAGTGTTTAAAAGATTGAGAATGACAATGAGTGATTGAGACAACCACTTTTTAATAAATTAATTAGTTTTGCTTCTTATATTAATTTCCCTTTACCAAAAGAAAAAAAAAATAATAAAAGCTGATAATCCATTTTGATGCAATTATTTGTTTTAAAATGAAGAACAACTTTCTGTAAAGAATACATTATGTGTATTTGTGCATGTATCTGTAGGTTTATAATATGCATTGGTTATAATCTTGGTACTTAATTATCATTGTCATATGTTTATAGGTTTATAAGCCACTAAAAATTTAGTCACTTTGTTAGAGAATATAGACAGCTCCCCAAAATACCAGAATAAGTACCCCAATCTTAATCAGTGGATTAGATATCATCAAGGTGATGTCCATTCTGATCACATAGATAAACCTTCTCCAGGATGATCTGTCCTCATCTTGGCCCTTCAAGTCTCTCAAACATACACGCATCATGCAACTAAGTCAATCCATTTTCCTGGCCATTCTCTTCTCTTTCCTTTACCTTTCCCAGCATTACAGACTTCTCAAGGGAATTGGGGGTTTTGCATCTGTCTATAGACTTACCCAAATTGATCTTGAATATGAGCATGGGAATTTTCATAATAGTCTGAAAATCTTTTGAAGTTTATTCCAAAATATGCACACTTGACTCAGAAAATATTTTTTTCCTCTATAACTGAACTTTATTAGCTTGGTTGAATAGCATGTCTACTTTTTATGTGATCTTTTTTATAATAAAGCACAAGATATATAATATGTTATGCTCTGTATTAGTAATTTATTTTGCATTTGACAATTAATCTTTCTTTTTAATCTAAGGGGAAATCTGCTTTGTGGTCACACTTGTTACATTACCAAGAAAACAGACAGCGAAAACCTACATCTGGAAGTTTCAGTACCTCAGGTGCAGTTGTCTTCCATAAAAATTATGTTGCTATTTTGTACAAGAGAAAAAATCACAAAAACAAATTATATTTCTAAATTCTAATAAAAAATAGAAGATATGATTATATATTGCTCAAAAAAATAAAGGGAATGCAAACCCCTTCAGTTCCATGTTAAAATGTTCCCTTTATTTTTTTGAGCAGTATATATTTATTTATTGAAAGCTTAAATCTGATGTAAATTCTACTCTCGGGAATATTAATTATTCCAGAACAGTGGTTCTAAAACATTTTAGTCTCAAGATTTCTTTACATTTTTAAAAATTAGAGAGAACCCCAAAGAGCTTTGATTGTGTGGGTTATATCTATTCATATTTACTGTATTAGAAATTAAAACATCTTTAAAATGTTTGTTTACTTTGTGAATCCTGTAAGGGTCTCTGAACCATATTTTGAGAACTGTTGTTCTGGAATATAAATATTCTATTGGGTATCACCTAGAATTATTATTTTAAAATAAATAATCCTTTCTGAGAAAGGCACCATCATTATGTTTGAAGTAAAATGTTTCGGTCTATGTTTCCACTCCACTGTACCTGTCATAAGTTCATTTTAGGACTTTAAAAGTTAAATTTATTGAGATGAGTTCAATTATTGGACAAGTTGTGGAACATAGCGTTTTAAACCTTAGTCAACAAACTGGATTGAGATAAAGGTTTGTTCTAAGACAGAATTAACTGATTTCAAACTGAATTTTTAGTAGTAACTTCTTTACAATTTATTAATGCAAATATATTCTATTAATTATAAATAGAATATATTGCAAGAAGTGCTGAATCCTCATGGAAAATATCAGTCATTTACTTACATGAATGAAAGAAAAAGGGCTCTCCATTTAGAAATCTAAAGCAGGGCTTTTCAACCTTTTCACCCATTGTACCACTTTTAGGATATGGCAATATCCGAGTACCACCAGTCGCCTAGCAAGGTGTCAAAAACTTGATGACCCCCCCAAAAGGAAAAAAGTGATAAAGTACAGGTAGTCCTCGACTTACAACAGTTCGCTTAATGACTGTTTGAAGTTACAATGGCACTGAAAAAAGTGCCCCCCAAGTCACAGCCGAGCAAGACAACTGCCTGCCCACCCGGCGGCGCTCTTCCTCCTGTCCGAGCTTTTCATTGTTGTGAGCATTTCTGTTGGGGATTGACAGCGGAGGTGGGGTGGGAGGTGTTTGGTTTTTATTCCACTCGTCTGCTGGGTGGTTGCAGCAGGTTTTGGTCACTTCACATGACCCTGGGACACTGTGACCGTCATAAATATGAATCAGTTGCCAAGCATCTGAATGTAAATCACAAGACCCTGGAGATGCTGCAACATTCCAGCTGACTGGTGCTTCTTTCGGGCTCAGCAGAAGCGCTGGAGCCCGGCGCTGATCCTGGCGCTTCCGCTGAGCCCTGACAGCCCTGCAGCTCCAGCCATCTCTTGCTCAAGCTTGTGCAGTGCTGCCACCGGTTCAGCTCATTCCCCTCCCCTGCTACCACTTTTCTAGGATGGTCGCGGACCACCTGCCAGGTGCCAATGTACCACAGGTGGTACCCGTACCACTGGTTGAAAAGCCCCGATCTAAAGAAGTATTTTGAGTCAAAGGGCAGATACTGCCCCTCCAGTTCCCTTAAACTATTGCTTGTTTAATTTGTCCAAAAGAATATAATGGTAACTAGTGAAAAAATGTTTAATACCATATCTTATTAGCACTTGGTATAACCCAAGAGCTAGGTTCTTATGTATAAAGTATAATTATTTTGAGCCAAGAAAAGTATAGGTCTTGCACTTCACTCTATTCTGGGATTATGAATAAGAGTATCTAGTTCAAAATGCATAAAAGTTGTAGTGTCTTTGGTTAAATCAGATTTGATTAGCTCATTGTACCCATTTGAAATCATGCCACAGTATGCATTGTAACTGTTCTTCAAAGCCTGCAAACAATTTCAGCTAGCCTCATCACTTGTATTGTGACCTTTGCCCCCATTCCCCCAAACTGTTGATCTATGCAGATCCAAATGCATTTTGGAAACTTAATTTAATTATTCTAAAAGCAAAGTCCGTACAGCATTCATTTTCACAGAATAGTTTTGAAGATTTTTTTTTTAGATGAAAAAACTAACTCCCCCTTTCAATATTTTTTTGCCATGTTTTCTTGCATCTACTAGCTCTCAGTAGAAGAAACTCAAGGTGGAGTAGATTTTTCAGAGAATATGTCAAATAAGGAAACATAAATCTCTGTTGTTCAAGCTATAGGTCTTTTAGAAAAGTTATACCTTAATATGAGCATCATAACTAATGTAAAACATGATCATCAACTGATGAGACAATGAAACTACAGATGAGCTCATATAGAAGCCTATATAGTAGAATGACTTCAAATGTTGCTCAAAATCAAAACATTTGCATTTTTAAAATATTTAATCAAATGTAATCTGTATTTTAGGAATTCTTCTTGATGCTGAAAGAAGGAAGTCAGATGCCAATCCAGGAATGTCCCCTTTAAGAGTATCCCTCATCCAGGACATGAGGTTGGATTTTTGCAATCCTAAAGATCAGATAAAAAATTTAATCATATTTTTAGGACAACTAAGTTTAAAATATTTCCTTTAATTTATTTCATTATTATTTTGATTGATATCATTTTGTATTTAGGCAAAAACCAGAATCTTAAGCCAGTTTATTGAAAAGAATGTATCAGGTATAATCAGTGAAATATAATATTTAGTAAGTCAGGTAAAGATTGAAATCTAAACTTCAGCTAATTTTGAAAAATGCTATCACCACAATTTTTTTAAAATTCCTGCTCTTATTTGATATCACTACCTCAAGATGTTGTTGACTTTCTATAGGAGACAATAACTGCTTTAAATAAAATATTTGTTGAATCGTTGTTGAAAAATGCAAACTTTCAAAGACAATATCAAAATACAATTTATTTTTAACGTCATATACTGTAAGGAATATTTAAAATTTCAGTATAGTTTAAGAAGATATATTATTAAACATTTTAAGCTTTTGTTAACATATCAGGCTAAGACTCAGAAATGGAACCATTGGCGTTCATCTGCTCGCTCCCATTAACAATATATGAAGTAGTCAACCTCAATGTGACAATGAAATGTAGATTTTGATTTTGTATACCTTTAAGAGACCCAAGAATAAAATAATTACCAGATTAAACAACACATACTATGACTTTATTTGCTGGGTTTGGTGAGGCAGATGAATTCAAAGATCTACTAACACATAATTCAAAGCTGAGCTAATCAAGCAAGACCGTTTGTGAGCAGCATCTGCTCTCAGGTCATGTTGGAGTACAGGAATACACAAGGATATGTTTTCACTGGATCAGTATTACATCCCATTCTAAACTTTAATCTAAAGAAGGAACACTCTTTTTCTCTCTCTAACTTCCAGGCTTTCTAATCATGTCAGTGTGAACTTCCAGGTAGAAGCTACAAAATTTCTAAATTACATAATATTTATACAGTTTCTAGAACATACTTTATTTACAATATTAAAAACTTGTCTTATCATGTAGCATTCACAATTCTTACTCACAGAATATTCTACCCAAAAAAAAGCAAAATCCATCTTTTAATATAATTAGACTGTGAAGTTCAGGGGTTTGGAAGTTAGATAAGCTTCTTCCAGAAAATGCGTGTCTACAGGTGAATTTGGGAAATCTACATGTCACTTAAGTGCAAAAAAATCCTTTTTTTCCCCTGAGCTGTATATATTTTTCTTGGTATGCATTTGTTGTTGTATGCATCTTTTGTATTCCTTTTATGCCTATACGTTTCATATTTCATCTTTATGCTAGAAGAGAAAATACATTTTCTTTGATGATACTATATTATTAATGAATCTATTTCTCTTCCTCAGTAAAAGGTTTGGCAATAATAACAATATAATTTATTTTGCTTTGTTTTTCAGGCATATTCAGAATATAAGTGAGATCAAAACAGATGTTGGTAAAGCTAGAGCTTGGGTTCGACTCTCTATGGAAAAGAAATTACTTTCCAGACATCTGAAATACCTTCTTTCTGATTATGAACTCACAAAGTATGTTGAAACAATCATTTGCTTAAATGGACATGAATCGATTCACGTTTCCCTTTAAAATCACTTATCATATCTCATAATATAACTAATATGTAAAAAAAATGATGTAAAAAAGATATTGAGACTCTAGAAAGAGTACAAAGAGCAACAAAGATAATCAGGGGACTGGAGGCTAAAACATATAAGGAACGGTTGCTGGAATTGTGTATGTCTAGCTTAATGAAGAGAAGGACTAGGGGTGACATGATAGCAGTCTTCCAATATCTCAGGGGCTGCCACAAGGAAGAGGGAGTCAAGCTATTCTCCAAAGTGCCTGAAGGCAGGACCAGAAGTAACGGATGGAAACTAACCAAGGAGAGAAGCAATCTAGAACTAAGGAGAAATTTCCTGACAGAACAATTAATCAGTGGAACAACCTACCTCCAGAAGTGGTGAATGCTCCTACACTGGAAGTTTTTAAGAAGAGACTAGACAGCCATTTGTCTGAAATGGTATAGGGTTTCCTGCCTGAGCAGGGGGTTGGACTAGATGACCTCCAAGATCCCTTACAACTTTATTATTATTATTATTATTATTATTATTATTATTATTATTATTATTATTATTATTATTAAATATATACTGCATGAATTTCCTAGTTATTTGTGAAAGAAGATAATTTTCAAATTATGATATGAGCTCAAAAATTTAATCCCAGAATTCTATGATATTATGAACTGACATGAGTTAGAAAAAGAAATAAAGCTAAATATAGCTTAAACCAGAGGTCCCCAGGTTTTGGGGCACCAGAGACCGGTTCCATGGAGAAAGGTTTTTCCACAGACCAGATGGGGTGTGATTTTGAATACTGCCTGCATCCTGAGGATGGAGCTTTTCTTGTTTGTGTGGCCTGCTTGCTGGCATCCTGCAGACCGGTGCCGGTCCACAGACCGGGGGTTGGGAACCCCTGGCTTAAACCAATACATTCAGTATATCATTTAACCTTGCAATTCATCTTTTCTTCTACCATATCCCTGCATTGTTTCATACTTTGTCTTCTCTTCTTTAAATTTCTCACCTCTCTTCATGAGAATTTCATTAATTCTATCTAGCCTGGCTTTCTTGATCTTCTCATTCTTTAGTCCATTCTCCTTTCCTTCGTTTATTTGTTTTGCAGCTTGATGTTCATTTTCTATATATGACCAAATCACTTCAAGTAGGTGTTCTTCTTTTCCCTCTCTGCTCCTGCGAGGGCTCGGTTGAGATCTGTGCAGGCAGTCCTCGACTTACAGCCCTTTGTTTAGTAACTGTTCAAAGTAACAACACTGAAAAAAAGTGACTCTTGACCTTTTTTTCACACTTACGACCCCATGATCATGTGATTTACATTCAGATGCTTGACAACTGGTTCATATTTATGACGGTCACTGCATCCTGGGGTTGTGTGATCCCTTCTTGCCACCTTCTGACTAACAAAGTCAATGGGGAAGCCACTTAATAACCGTGTTACTGACTTTACAGCTGCAGTGATTCACTTAACAGTTGTTGCAAGAAAGGTTGTAAAATGGGACAAAACTGTTTTGCTTAGCAATGGAAATTTTGGGTTCAATTGTGGTCATATATCAAGGACTACCTGTAACTAAAAATTGTCAAGGAACAGACTTCTTTTAATCTTTTTTTTTTCTTCTGTTCCATCGTGTCTGATGCTTGGAGACTGCCTGGATGAATCTCTGCAGTTTTCCTGGCAATGTTTTTCAGAAGTGGATTGGTTTTCCAAGGGCAGGGTGACGGTGACTGGCCCAGGGTCACCCAGCTGGCTTCATGCCAAGCAGGACTAGAATTCACGATCTCCTGGCTTCTCGCCTGATCCCTTAATCACAACACACAGCTGGCTCTCTGTTCTTATTAAGTAAAAGCAAATCCCTCTCATGCAAGTGTGACACCTGGGGATTGTGAACACATCTGTTGTCATGTTTTCAGTAGCCCTGGAGGAGGAGTTTGCTCAGTCTACAACTTCCTGGAAGCTGCCCCTCCCTCCCCACCCAATCTGCTTTTTCTGGATTATTTAAATGAGCCTCCCACTCCACCCATCCTCCTTGTTATTACCTGGCCTTCTTTTCCTCTGGATGCTCGGCGTCCTCTCATTCTGCCATTCCTCCCCCTCCCCCTCATGAGGAAGTTTGGATTAAAAACTCAGAATCTGAATCCCATGGCCGGCTGGGCAATTCTGGGAGTTGAAGTCTACAGATGTTAAAGTTGCCCAGGTTGGGCACCTCTACTCTAGGTGAAGGCTTTGGACAGCCCTTTCTCCAGGTTCAGTGAAGCCAGAGGTGGGCTGACCATATCAACTCCAATTTGTCCTTCAGATCAGAATGGACAGCTCTTGGTCTGAAGTGCTGTAGGATCTCCTGCTTGAGGGTTGGACTAGAAGATCTCCAGGGTCCCTTCCAACTCTATTCTGATGGATTGATTTCTTTCTCATGATTCAGTTTGTATTCAATCCACATTCATTTAGCACTCATTCATTCTTGGTCCCAACTCTTGTTTTACCGTGCACACCTTTTAGTAACCTATTCCCACTGCATTCAACTTTATCCTGATCTATGCAACTCTCATTTTAATATCTTAAAGTGGGCAAAGCAGAGATTTAATATGCAACGATTCTTTATACATTTATCTGTAAATAATTTAAACAACCAAGAATTATCGTACATACAGTACTTGGGTTGCTCAGTGTTGAACCATTTTCTGAATATTTTATTTATTGTCAAACATCCTTTGCCTCTGTCATATACTACCCAGGCAAAATTCATACTGGCACTAAATGTGTCAGCTTATTAATGTTTTTTTCCCTAAATCAACTTATAATAGTTTTGGAAATGTTGAAAAATATTGGAAAAAATCTTTTTAATGTCTTTTTTCTAGTTTTGGAGGGAATGAAATTATTTTCTGAGATAGAGATTTACCTAAGAAAAATGATTAATTAGAAAATTGTTTTTTAAAAATGAAAACATTCCAGAAAGGGATATATAGATTAGGGCAGAGCAAAAAAATGATTATATTTAAGGTTAGGACTAGGAACCTGAAGATTCAATTTCTTGGACACCGTAAGCCACAAAACCCAGTGAGTGACCTTGGACTAGCTCTTTCAGTCCAATCTATTTCACGGGATTGTTGATGTTAGGGAAAAATAGGAAGAGGAAGCATTAAATATACTACTTTGAATTCCTGAGTGAAGGCAGTATTTAAATCCACTAAATAAATATATACTAATCTTCAGCACTTTGTTCTCCCATACTTTTTAGGTAATAGAGACTAAATTTAATTGTCCTTAGCCAAAAGAGTAAATCAATTTTAACTTCTTTGTTCTATTAATTACTATTTTTTTTAAGTGGCAATCTATACATCTTATGCCTTTAGAGTTAATTCCATTAAACATAACAATTCTTAAATCTGAATAGAGCATTTATACACTTGCATTATACTTTCCAGATAGTTGCTGATAATAGTAAACTAGGATTGAAAGATTTAATGGTTCAAAATTTCTCAGCATTTTATTTCTTTATCTGGATTTTTACCCTTCAACAATTACATTTTTCATATTTCTAAAATAGTTTCCATCCCTTAAAAAGAAATGTTAGTGGTATACAAAACAGTGGGTTGAAATTTATATAAAGTACATACAGAATCTAAAAGACTCTAAAACAGCAATCCATTGGTTACAATAGTTATTGCCAGTGCATTCTTCACAATGAAACTCCTATTATAATTATAAAGTGTTTATTTTCTTTGTCAGAAAACTCTACAAACGCTATGCTTTTCTCCGTTGTGATGATGAAAAAGAACAGTTTCTTTATCATCTCTTGTCATTCAATGCTGTAGATTACTTCTGCTTCACCAATGTTTTTACAACAATTTGTAAGTATAACCTTTTATTATTGGAAAAATTACTTTGTGGTACCTAATTTTCTATAGTAAGCACTTGTAGTTCAGACTCCATTTTGTCAGATCCATGGAATACTATTTTCATATGACTTGTATATGTATGCCATTATAGAGAGCTGAAATGTCAGGAAAATGAAATGCAAGAAATACAGATTCTAAAAATTATGTAAAATCTTAAAATAAATATAAGCCAATTATTCATAAATCAATATTAATCCCAACATATTATTCAAATTTTAAACTCTGGATTTCTCAAGCCTGGGAGGCTATAATTATATTATTTTGTGATGTGAGAGAAAATATATTTAACTACTATAATTGATTTTCATTGGTAAGCTGGAAAGAGAGCAATTTCTCTCCCTATGCAAATATTCATTTACCCTCAAAATTTGTTCCAGAAAGTCATGACTTTGTGTGGGAAGTGAAAAAAGGAAAAACCATGCTTAAGGATATTTAAATGAAAATTGGTCTGTACAGGACACTGGATGCAATACTGTAGCTATAAGGCATGCAGTTGTCTTACATAGAGTGTGTTTTTGGAAGAGTAATTTTCAAAAGGCTATTTGTAAATAAATTGTGAGACAGGTATTTGTATGTGCATATTTGGGTAGCTATCTGCTTGTACCTTGATGTTAGTGTATTTATATAAATAGGTTTCCTGGACGCAGGGATTCTTAAAAGAGCTTTGAAGCTGCCTCATTTATAAACAGAATAAAAACATATCTGTAAATTTGCTAAACACAATTGTAACTGGCTTGTATAAACCTGGTATTTTAGTAAACACTTAAATAGTGTAAGGGATGGAAGTAAGATTTGTTCCCATCTTATTTAGCATTTGCTGTTGCTGGCATTTTTTCTTTCATTTGGCTCATGGGGCTAGTGTTGGGCTGATACAGGAGGTTAAAAAATATTAAAGAAGTAGGATGACTATTACACACATCTTGTCAAAACCTTATTTAGCTTGTTTATGATCTATAAAGATTTCAGTTAAGAAGAATATGTATATATTTCACAATTTGCTAAGTTGCTATTCAAAACCATCCCCAGCAAGCCTATAACGCTCTACACTTACTACTTAATTTTTTTAACTGATATATTTCAGAACATAAATCAATAAAAGTTAAGCAGACGTAATAGGTTTAAGAACTCAATTGAAACATAAAATTAAAAAGTGTAATATATTAATGCACGAAAGGTGATAAAATGAACTAGGGAAATTCTCACTGGGAAAGTTTCTTACCTGGGAGTTTCTCACTGGGGAAATATACATTTCAGGAGTAGGAGATTCTACTGAGGAAGTTCAGTGAAGCTCCCCCTGCATATATCCTTGGAGACAATTACCCAGATGTATATATGTGTTTTCTTTTTTACAGTGATTCCATACCATATATTGATTGTTCCTAGCAAAAAGCTTGGTGGCTCAATGTTTACAGCCAACCCATGGATGTGTATTTCAGGAGAATTGGGTGAAACAGGAATCTTGCAGGTTCCAAGAAATATGCTGGAGATGACATTTGAGGTATCTCTCATGTTGTTGTTGAACAGAAGAAAGCAACTTTTCAGTCTCTAAGCCTTGTGCTTTGTTTCAAAAAATAATTTTCAGTGATCAAGGGCTACATTACAATAATGTAAAATAAGTAGCCAAGGCTATCTAAGAGCCCTTTAATTTTTTTTAAACAGGGAATAGCTTACACACCTTTGACAGTTGGCCTTTAAATTCTCAGCAGCTTTATATCTTGAAACTACAGGTATCCCAGAGCCATGGGGTATCTATCCCAAGTTAAAGGAACACAAAATAGAAAAGCATGGACATTGTGGGGTAGGGGGATGAGAGAGAGAGAGAGAGAGTAAATTTAATAGAGTGACCTTTGAAAATAGTTACTTTTGTGGATTCCAGCAAACCCTGACAATTATGATCACAAAAAGGTTACTAAAAGAGGAGTAAGGTTTCCTTTTTCTACATTTAATTTGAGGTTTTGAGAAAGCTCTCCTACTATCTGATTTTGAAAATTGTTTCTTTCAAATGTACAGTAGCATTTACCCTTAGTAATTTCCTTAGTAATACATTAACAGGTTTACAGAATAGATTCAAGGTTTTTACAAAGTTAAAAATCATTAAATTTATCACAGAACAAAAAGGGGGAAAAGATGGACATCCAAAACCAAAAAATCTGCCATCATAAATAAGTAGTCAGTGATGGTCTAA